CACATGCACGTACACACACACGATGATTAGCTTTCCTTATCCAGTTTCAGCAGGTTCTGCCCTCAGCTGCAAGTACTCTGATTTGCTGCCGTTCTCACCCTAGCCCTTTTATGTTAGCCTTGTGTTTTTACATGTATTTGTTACCTCCCTGTCTTGGTAAGCCCTGGAGTTCATGGCACTGTTCTCCTCAAGTTCCTAAATCTAAAGTGACCCCAAATTCATTTGCCTGTCATTAATTCTAAAGTTGTCATTAATTCGAGACAATCCTCCAGTGCACCGGCAGCTTTGCGTGGACAAATAAGTCTTCCCCTCAATAGAAATTCCATGTACCCAGCAACACATCCACTGGGCATCTACCCCAGAGAAGAAAGAGGCAGCACATGAACAGTCCAAATGCCCATCGGTAGAACGGATAAAGAAACTTGGGTACAGGCACACAGTGGAACATTAAGCATTCCTTAAAAACAGTGATGAAACTATGACACACCTCGACATGGACCCAGAAACCATCTGCTGAGTGAAGTCAGTCAATCACAAAAGGACAGGCATTTTATGAGACCACTATGATAAGGAAAATCACCAAGACAAAGGCAGGTCTCTGGTCTCAGGTCACGTAATCTTCTAGTCCAGCCTCCCAAGCAACAAGGTGGTGTGCCTGCCTAGTGCTCGCGAATCACGTGTCACCCCTTATTTGTACGTCTTAAAACTCACTTCAACTGGGGTCAGTTTCTCATCTTGAGAGTGGAAGATCAGTCTGTTCCTGCCATGTAACATTGTTCTATGGTCACTCCAAATCAACAGGCCCTCCTAAATCTAGAGGCCCACCAGCCTGAGTGATTCAAGGATTGTAAACGATAACTCTATAAACAAAGAAGGGAATGGTATTAGAGCTTCAATTCTGAGCATCTGGTTTGCAGGCTATGGATGACAGTGAAAGTTCAAAACCCATTTGCAAGATCCCTGTATGGATTTTAAGGCCCCAGCGAACCTCCTGACCTTAGACCTAGAATGTGAATAGTCTTGCTATCACCATAGTTCAAATTCATCCATTTTCCTTCCATCTTTTTTATCCATGATCCAGTTTTGACTTGCAGATGTAGCTAGGTTAAACTTTTAACCTTATTTGTTTTCACTCATTTTAAACTTGTTCTAGTTTTTAATATTGTCTTTTCAATTGAAGTTTTTGTTTGGGAGCTGTTGGGTTTTGTTGTGAATATGTTTTTCTGTGTATGAAATCCAGAACAGGTACATCTGTAGAGACAATAACTGGATTGTTTCTTAGGGGTATGGCAGGAGAGGTTGTGGGGAAATGGGGAGCTAATGAAAACAAGAAAGAAGAAAATGTTCTAAAATTGTGATGATTGTACAACTCTTTTTACGTGATTCAACTACTGAATTGTGTATGTGAATTATGTCAATAAAACTGTTTTTTTTTAAAAAAAAAACTCTTCCCTCACCAGCCAGGGAGTGCCTGGTTTAGACAAAGAGGCCTGGTAGTGCAGAGGGCAAAGGACTGGGCTGCTGACAAATGAGGCACAGGTTCCCAAAGTTATTTGGTCTACCATAAAAAATAAAAAAAATTACTCAGCAATAGAAACCATTTCTGTACTATAGCCCATCATTCAGGATAAAGTGTAGGTATCTGCTTTTGCAGCTCCATTGGATTATTCCAGTGCCACTCACGGGGCAGCATCCCCCACTTTGGTTAGTGATTTGAACTCACCAGTCAATTCCTGAGATTTACAGCCTTGGAAATCCAGTGGGGCAGTTCTACTGTGCTATAGGATTGGATGAGTGGGAATCAACTTGATGGCAGTGAATTTGGTTATTTCACTACTAGTCTACAGCGACCGATTCAATGAACAAACCCTCTGCAGCAAAACAGCTGAAAGCGATCAACTCTGCCTTTGCCAGCAGACATAACCAACTATTGTGGTAGTTAATCTGTTGTCAGTTTGAGACTTGAGTGAAATGAAGTCGCAGCTTGATGACCTCATTTGGAGGCGCTAAGGAGATAAATAGCTCGTTAGAGGCGGGACACACACTCACTCCCTGGGAGACATTACTGCCAATGGAGCTACACTGATGCAGCCAGAGCCCAGAGCTGGAGGAGCCATATGGAAACCCACGCCGTTGCTGAGATGCTTCTACTGCCACTGGATCCAGAAGACTTTCCACTCACTGGCCTGTGATATTCCTGTATTCAGCATCATTGCATATGTTTCATAAGTGTGAAGAGGAATTTATGGATTGGTATTGGACATATAGGCTAACATTGGATTTATGGACTTGATCTGAACTGAGCTGGACTGTTTTCTCAATATTCAATTGCTCTTGTATATAAAGCTCTTTCTTACACATGAGTGTCTGAATTTATTTCTCAAACAAATCTTCCTTCATACTCACAATCTCACCTTGAGGATTTCTTTCATGGTAAACTTGATTTCTCTCCAGGGTAAGCATGCCTAATCCCTTGGAGCATTCCTAAGAACTCACTGATTTTCTTTTCATTATTCTTGGCTGTTCCACGAGGTATGCTATCCAAAACTCTTCACAGCACTCACAGGTGATCTGACCACACAATCAGCATAAGATCCCACTGGCCTCATTGGATATACAGGAAGGAGAATATTGCCTTGAGCCCAGCACATGAGGTTGAGGAGAGACCCTATCTTATCCCTCCATAACTTATCCTAACACTGCAGGAGTTATAAGATGCACCAAGCTGTGGCTCTTTTGGGCATAGAAGAGATAACCTTTTCATTGCATTGTTCCAGGGGAAACCCACACCCCACCCCCCAGCCCCCAAACCAAGAAAGACCAAGTATTTCAAATGGAAATAATCTAAAAACACACAACTCAATGGGCAAACACAACTTTGTAAGGAAGACCACCTAACTTTGAAAGATGCTTCCCCTCAAGAGATTTGAATCCATTTTTAAGGGCCTATACAAAGCCCTGAGATGCCTTAGTGGTATAGTGGTGAGTTGGGCCTTGATTCATAAGATCAGCAGTTCAAAATGACCAGCTGCTCCACGAGAAAGGCAGGGCTTTCTACTCCTGTAACGATTTAGTCTTGGAAACCCACAGGGGTGGTTGTACTGTCCTATTAGGTCACTATGAGTCAGGAAGAACTCAATGGCAGTGCCTTTATAGAAAGATGTGCCAGGTGGTGGATCACATCATTTCCATGATACTGCTCATGTCAACTTGGGCAGAATTGCAAAAGAAACTTCAAAGTGTTCTTGGCTTCTGGCTCAAATGAGATTTGGTCTAACTATCCTTACCTCAGAACAAACTGACAAGGTAGACACATCACTCAGAAGAATGCCTGTTCAGGACCAGTGGTGTGAGTGGCAAAACAAGGAGGGTAGAGGGAGAGTGGGTTGGAAAGAGAGAACCGATTACAAGGAACTATATGTGACCTCCTCCCTGGGGGACAGACAACAGAAAAGTGGGTGGAGGGAGATGTCAGACAGGGCAAGATATGACAAAATAATAATTTATAAATTATCAGGGGCTCATGAGGGAGGGGGGAGCGGGGACGGAGGGGGAAAATGAGGACCTAATGCCGGGGGCTTAGTGGAGAGGTAATGTTTTGAGAATGATGAGGGCAATGAATGTACAAATGTGCTTTACACAATTGGTGTATGTAAGGATTGTGTTAAGAGTTGTATGAGCCCCTAATAAAATGATTTAAAAAGAAGAAGAAGAAGAATGCCTGAACATGTTAACTTTCTACTACGAATCTGTTTCTAAAACATCGTTCCTTCCACCCCAGCTCCTTATGCTGGGACTGGCATGCACAGCCACAGGGCCAGCCTCACATACTCTCTCCACCGAGGAGAAAACAAGCAAGTAGTTTACATTACAATGTCCGAGTAGTCCAGGAAGACTGCTAACTAGTAGGATAGATGAGCGAATTCCTAAAAATTGGAATCACTTTAGTGACAAATTCCAAGTGCAAACAGACAGCGTGGATGCAATCCCACATCTTTTTCACGTCTATGGAGATGCCACTTGCAGAGGCAGTTATTGACGGTGGCTCTTCTTGGCAAAGCCTCTAACTTGTACCAACCTTTCCCTGAATGGGGCTGGTAAGAAGGTGGGGAAGGTACTGATCACATAGGCTTCCCAAGAGTGCCATCCGGCTGGGTATAAAATGAGCCCTCTGAGGAGGGATTTCATTAACAGCAAAAGCCAAGAGTAAAGTGCATCTTCTGGACCCAAAATCCCTGTGCTCTGAACCTCCTGGATCCACACCCGATATGAGAGGAGCAGCAGCAGGGCCAGGTGCCAAAGTGATGGACTTCCCAACCCCCGCAGCAGGTAAGGCTGAATGCTTTTGTGCTGGAGGTAGGATTGCAGAGTGGGGTGCCTCTGGGTACTTAATTGGGGAATTTGGACTTGCTGACCCATGAAAGCAGAGCTGAGTTTCTCTGGGCTAAGGTTTACTGGAGTGATGGCCTTTGGGCACTTAATTCAGGGAGTTGGGTTTGCTGACTCAAAGAGCTTAAACTGAATGTCTTCAGGCTGAGACTTACAGCCGAGTGCTAAGCCCTTGGGGCATTTGTTAGCAGACTTTACAGAACTTTGTAAGAAGCCCCCATAAACAAATCAACTCTGAGCATTTCTCCCTGGCAATTACAACTTAAATTCCGTAATCAACCATTCAATCATGCATTTTGTCTGTGAGTTCTGTGTAGCCACTGCAATGGATAGGAGAAAGTGGGGAGGGCAGAGAACATTAAGACAGCGAACCGCTGTTTAGCCTTATGACAAAGGCAGCTTTGCTATCTCACTTGAGATAATTCCCCAAGACTCCACAGAGGGATAAAACTGCAAACCAGTGAGGTATAAATATAATCAAATGTGTTGTCTTTAGTACCAAGGAGCTTAGCATCTACTCTAGGCACAGAGTGTCCGTCAGGCCCTCCAAGGAAGGAATCCTACCCGGGACATGATGCGGGGAACAGAAAGGAGCACCCGAAGCCAAGTGGTATGAAGAGGGTCAGCCTGGGAAAGCCTTTTATTTCCCCAGATCTTCAGGCACCTCAAAAAAGCGGGAGGTTACCTGCAGCTCAGTATGAAACTAGTAAAACTGCAAGGCTTAGTAAGCACCGGGCAGTGCATTTCTGCATTCTGGCACACAGGGAGCACAAGGTCAGTCTGGCAGGGAGCTGAGAGGGCTCGCGGCCTCCGCAGCGATCACACAATCTTCACCGTCTTGAGCATTTCTGAGAGGACATAGGTGTCATCCCAACCCTGCGCAGGCCTCCTCAGGGTCCGCTCCAAGGCCTGGGCCATTGCCAGGAGCTCCGGGGTAGCAAGCTTCTGCTCGGGGCACAGCTGACAGAAGAGGATCTCGTTGACTTCACCCTCGATTCGCCGGATGTAGAGGAGGGGGAAGACCGCCTTGAGCCCAGCAAGAACGGAGTCCTTTAGCTTCAGGTCTCGGCACACGAGGTTGAGGATGAAGACACCTGGTGGGAGAGAAAGCAAGTCGGAATGCCTGCAGCCCAGGGAGCCCCGCAGAAACAGACTGGCGCTGAGGAAACTATCAATCCCTGCCGTGGCCAGGAAGGCTGGTGAACACGAATGCTCTGACCGAGGGAATGTGCAGAGGGCACGCCGCACACACAGGCAGAAGGAGAAAACCATGGGGAATGCGTGAAGAAGCCCCCTTGCTCTTCTCTGCCAACAGAAATGACTGACCCATTCTCCATGCCTGAGTTTCAGAAATAACTGCCCTGAGCGAGAATTACCACAACAGTGAATTTACCAATGCCACCGGACTATACATTCTTGACATACACATCATGGAGTATTAATGAATGGGAGACCCAGGTGACTTTGCACCCAGTCAAAACACCAGGAATATGGGAGTGAAAGCGCCAGTCTTCACATAACAGAGTTGAGCGGGAGCCAACTATGTAACCTCATGTTACTCTTTGGCAAGTCTCTGACTCTCAGTCTCCTCAACTGAAATCGTGTCTGTTATAAAGCTTCAACGACAGCCTGCCAGGTTCGTCAGTGCATGTGGGAAGCGCTCAAGTGAGAGGTATCATCAGCAGGCTGCTGGGAGTGTGAACTGCGACAACCTCTTGTGGCAACATCTACGAAAGCTGGACACCCTCGGTGTATGTATACCCAAGAGACCTGACCCGCAAACCTATTTCTCCCAAGTACGCAGTATGACTGTAGGAGAATGACAACGGCGGCACTAATCCGAGCTGTCCAACACAAGAAACAACCCGAATACCACCCAACAGTGGACCGGAGGAGCGGTAGAGTAACGCCACTCAGCAATGAGAACTAACGACGTAAAACAACATTCTGGATGAACATCACATCATGAACAATGTTTAGTAGCAAAAGCCACTTAAAAAGTACTTTCTGGGTGTCTCTGTTTGTGACATAAACAAAACCAGGCAAAACAAACTTTGCAGACAGAGCTGGGTTGATAGGTACCCTTTCGGAGAAGGATGCTCCTGGAGAGGGGTAAGGGGGCTGTGGTGGTTACATAATCTGGTGTCAACTCGCAAAGGGGTGGAGTCTAGCCTGTCAATCAGGTCACAGCTTGATGACCTCATTTGGAGGCACCACGGAGATAAACAGCTGACTGGAGGCCAAATAAATAGCTGACTGGAGGCCAAATACAGAGACTCTGCTTTGTCTTCCTGCTGACAAGACACATGGAGCTACGCTAGAGCCCTGGAGCTGAAGAAGCCACGTGGAGACCCACATCAGCACTAAGATGCTTCCACCGCCACTGGAGGCACAAGACTTTCCACCCACTAGCCTGTAATCTTCCTGCATTCGGTGTCATTGCATGTGTTTCGAATCTGAAGAGGAATTTATAGATTGGTTTTGGACACATGGGCTAATATTGGACTTATGCACTTGATCTAGACTGAACTGGGATGTTTTCCCAATATCCAATTGCTCTTTTATATAAAGCTCTTTATTATACACATGAGTGTCTATGAATTTGTTTCTCTAGTCAACCCTGATTAAACAGGGGCTCTGGGACACTGGAAAATTATACACATATGAGTGTCCATGAATTTGTTTCTCTAGTCAACCCTGATTAAACAGGGGCTCTGGGACACTGGAAATATTCTATGTTCGGTGCTGGTAAACATGTGTATTCAATTTGGGGAAATTCATTTTCAAGTACACACAAAATATGTCTATGTTCCATGAAAAAGATCAACATTCTACTCGTGTCTTCCCCCCTCCCTCTGCAACCTTTCATTCCCCATACCTCCAGGAGTCAAGATGCTCCTGACATTCTGCAGGAAAGCTGGTTCGACAAAGGCTGGGGGTGGACAGCTCATTCCCAGGGTCGGGTCCTTACTGTCCACATCAAACATGACAACATCATAGGGAGGCTGTGCTGGGAAAGAGAAGCAAATGCGTTATGCCGTCTTTGCTGGATAAAATCAGCTTCCAGCTCCTGGGTGACCAGTGGGCACTGGAGGCTCAGTCAGAGGGGGCTGGCATCATGGCTGTTTACACCACCATCACCACCACCCCCCAGAGAAGGTGGCCTTGCATCTCATCTTCTACCTCCACATGGAAAAGAGCCTTCCAAAGGCACATGGATTAATCAGATCCCCTCTAATGGGAATATTGCTTAAGAGTCCGTTCCTATCAGTGGTTTTCAAATTTGAAGGGGGAGTTAGATTTGATGTCATGGTGAATTTGTATGAAAGGGGTGGGCCCATGTGGACCACCTGACCCTTAGAGCCATAGGTGTCCCGCCAAGCTTCCAGCGATCCCAGATCCACAAGACTCTGCACCACTAGCTGTGTTCTCCCTGCTTCCTGCTTCATCTTTTACCATCATCAGTCTGTAGCTATGTGAGTCTGAAGAGGAACCCGGCTAACACTGGACCTATGAACTTGTGTTAGACTGGGCTGGGGCACTTCTTGATGTAAAATTGTTTCTTGTAGCTAGATGAGTATCACTGGTTGGTTTCTCTTACAACCCAGCCTAACACAGTTGCCAAAACACAAGAATCACCTTACCCACAGCCACTGAGTGGATTCTGACGCACAGTGACCCTATAGACAGAGCAGAACTGCTAATAGGGGTTCAGACTGGAAATCTCTATGGGAGCAAACAGCATCACCTTTCTCCTGCAGAGCAGCTCATGGGTTTGAACTGCTGACTTGTGGTTAACTCACCCAGTGCTTTTATCCACTGTACTACCTGGGGCTTTGGGGGGCATCGAAACCTTCCCAGAACTTGGACCCCCATGCCTGACCAACTGAGTTGAAAACTCAGGAGTGACAGGGCAGAAGGGAGGAAAGATGGGAAACCTCTGGCATTTCCTTAAGCTCGTCAGGAAATTCTTGATGGAGTTGGGGTTGAGAGACACTCCCTATACAAAGCAGCGGCCTATACCTCTAAAGCTTTAGTGACCCAGCAAAGGCGAACTGTAACTTACAATCTGGGTAAACTCAGCAGATACCGCCTCATAGGAGAGAATGTGCTGAAGTAACTTTTCTAGTTATTCCAACAATAGCTGGCTCCTGAAAGAAACTGTTTTCTGAAAGAGGTAAGAAAGAACTGCTGATGAACTGGATCTGCTCTCTGCTATAATAGTAAACAGTTTTCACAAAGGGTAGAGCTGGCAGGCAAGTCCATGGGTTTCCAAAGTGGCTGGAGTCTCAGAAAAGAGCCCTGGGAAACTCTGATATGGTTAAGGTTAAGTGTACAATTAAAGTTAAGGCAGGATCTGTCCATCCATCCCAGCAGCAAAACCCTCACCCTAGGCCACTTGGTTTGCCACATCCATGCTATAGGCTATTCTAATCAGCTGAGAACCAGAGTATCTGCTATGAAATGAGTGGATGGAGAACTCACGTTTTAAAAAGCAACATGGTGACCTGAACACTTTATATATATTCACGAGGGGGTACCTCCCCCAAACCCCCAAAAAAAACAGAAATGCATTTTTCCTGCTAGGTGAGCATCCAGCAACTCACTCTGAGTTAGTGTAGCAAGTGGCATCACCTGGGAAGGTTCTCTCTGGTCACAGTGAATTTTTCATAAAAGCACTTTCATTAGAACCTTGTTTATTATGATGCCCAATTTAAGAATATGTGTGCAACTGTGAAATTTTGTTTCCTGCTCAGGACAAATGCCACAGAAACTCTTTTGATGTTGAACACAGCTTACAAGGAGAACGCTATGGGAAAAACCCAAGTGCACAAGTATGTTTCTCGTTTCAAAAAAAGTGAAATGTCGCAGATGACAAATCTTGTTCTGGTCGTCTGTCAACTTCCTGAACAGACAAAAATGTCAACCAAATTAGTGCACTTGTGCTCAAAGACCGATGAGACGGACCACTGAAGAGATGGGGAGGCCATCTGCACTGTCTTGGAGCTCGGTTCAGCAAATTTTAACAGAAGATTTGGGAATCAGAAGGGTCACTGGGTAATGGGTGCCTTGGGCTCTGACTGACCAGGAAAAAGAGTATTGAGTGGAAACATGCCATGCTTTGAAAAAACAGCTCTGAAGCCACCCAGACTTTTTGTCCAAGGTCATTACTGGTGACAAGACATAGTACTATTCTTACGCCCCCGAAAGCAAACGTCAATCAAGCCAGTGGAAGACGCCATTGTCACCTCACCCAAAAAAAGCTAATCAAGTGAAATCAAAGATCAAGACAATGATTATCTGTTTGTGTTTGTTTGTTTGTTTGTTTGATGTGAGAGCTATAGTGCAATTAGAGTTCATTCTACCAGGTCAGACTGTTAAGTCAAACTTTCTATTTAGAGCAGCGGTTCTCAACCTGGGGGCCGCAACCCCTTTGGGGGTTGAATTACCCTTTCACAGAGGTTGCCTGTTTCATAACAGTAGCAAAATTAGTTATGAAATAGCAACAAAAATAATTTTATGGTTGAGGGGTCACCACAACATGAGGAACTGTATGAAAGGGTCGCGGCAGTAGGAAGGCTGAGAACCACTGATTTAGAGGTTCCGAAAAGATTGCAAAACAGTGTGACCAAAAAAGGCCTACTTTCTGGCAGCCGGGACTGGTTTTGTGACAATGCACCTGCTCTCGCAGCCATCTCAGTGAGCCATGCCTCTCTTGCCCCACACTCCTGACTCACCTGATCTCGTGACTTATTGCTGCAAATGAAGAAAGACATGAAAGGACAGCAATTTGATGACACAGAGAGGTGAAGAAAAAAAACAAGGGAGGTGCTGTCAGCCATCCAAACAGATGAGTTTGAAAACTATTTTCAAGATTGGAATCGAAATTTGGGAAATATATTAGGTGTAATGGAGAGTAGTTTGAAGGTGGTAAGGGTGTTTTGTAAAAAAATTTAAATATATAGCTTTGAAAAAAATTCCTTTTTGTGGGGTACCCCCTCATATATATATACATATTTACAAATACACACACAGAAAATACTCTAGGAATCCACTTCTCTAGTACTACAGAATATTACTATAGCTTTTGTCCTAACTCCCGGGTATCAATCATTAGAGCAGACTAGAACTTGACTTTCAGCAGTGAGCTGTTGCTGTGGAGTGGATTCTGATTCACAGCTACCCCATTGCTGGAATTGGCTCTTAAGGTTGGAATTGGTCCTGGGCTGTGATTTTCACAGAAGCAGACTGCCACACCTTCCAATTCAAAAGCTGCCACGCGGACTCAAACTGGCAACCTTCAAGCAGCAGCTCAGTGATTAACATTGAGTCTCAAGGCTCCTTCCAAAGGACAATCAAAATTCCACTGGAGAGGATGAGGAGGTACACACTTAGAGTCACTTACCATCCAGGGCAAAAACGGCCCTAATCACAATCTCCCCACAGGAGCCCTGGTAGCACAGTGGTTAAATGCTCAGCTGCCAACCAAAAGGTCAGCAGCTCAAACTCACCCGCCGCTCCACATGAGAAAGAGGCGGCAGTCCGCTTCCATTGAGACTGCAGTCTTGGAACTCCGACGGGGTAGACAGTTCTACTCTGTGCTGTAAGATCTCCATGAGTCAGACTCTACTAGACAGCAGTGGGTTGGGTTCATAACCCAGGTCTTAGCACACGCTGAGCACATGGATGACATGGTACATGTATTGAATAAGTATATCAGCAAATGAACAAACAGGTGAATGAGTAGGATGGTGCTGACGCCACCCTCTGAGGGATGAATCGTAGAGCCCTTTCATGTCTGATCTTGAACCCACGTTCCCACGGCACCCCTCCAATTTCAGTACCTTCTCCTCCTTGTGCCAGTGCGGTGACATAGTCCAAGCCATCTGCAATGTGGACCTTCATCCGGTCACTCTGGGCGAAGCCGAACCACTGGGTGGCCACTTCCAACATGGAGGGGTCAATCTCCACAGCATGGACGCAGGACTTCGGGAAATGATCGTGGACAAAGAGGGGGAGGCTGCCCCCACCCAGGCCAACCACCAGCACCGCCAGCGGGGTCTCTGTGATGAAAGAACAGAGCATCACTGTGCCATCTGGGAAGTGCCAGTCTCAGGGAGGGCGAGAGAGGGAATCAGACATGTGGTTCTACCCGGGGGAGAGGAGACTATCAGCTTCCTTATCTCATCTCAGAAAGCACACCCCTGACTTCACAAAGGCCAAGGCCAGTAGAGGAACCAGTTTATTACTATGGTCCCTTTAGAGACCCAAAGCACTCAGTTTACATTCTTTCAGGAGTCCCTGCTACCAATGTTCTTATTCCCCTCTAGAAACAGGGAGGGATAGTGACCCAGAAATTTTGCTCACAGTCACAAGGCAAGGTAGGTGTAACGTTCACTGACCCCAATTCAAAGGCCACAACCTCCCTCAGACAGCCCACCTTCACTAGGGCAATCCATTCCTGTTCCACACGTTCCAGAAAAACAATGGCCCAAGAGCCCTCCTTAAACAGAGAAACCACAGCAACCTTTCTTGAAGGAAGGCACGAAACAAGACGACCCCAAATGAGATAGACCTTAAAGATATAACCTAAGAACAGGGACATCAGGAGGAAGAGAGGCCGAAAGTACAGGGTTTCAACCAAGGCAGGCTCAGGGACTCAGGGTAAGGAGAGTTATGGGTGCAGACAGAAGTGTGTGCACTTCTGCTTATATGATTGGTTCCAACCTGTTATTACTGAGAAGGCTCTGGGTGCACCAACTTTAATATGGATTGTTTTTTTCCCTCTTAAGTAGCAATTCAAGTTACCTTTGATACTTAAGTCATACATTATTGTGAAAAGCTGGAAGTTGTTTTAAAAGTGCAAAGGCATTTGGAGACTTAAGTTTTTAAAATGTGCCATCTCATTGCATGAGGTACGTGCTGTTAGGGGCTGTCCAGTCGATTCTCACAGCGACTCAATGTACAACCGAATGAAACACTGCCTGGTCCTGCCCATCCTCAAAGTGCTGGTCTGATGGAGCCTGAAAGGTATGCACAACCGCAGAGGTTCATCGGGCTGTAATTAGTAAAGAATGTCTGCTTGAGCCTGGTGCTTTGCTAACGCACTATCTAGATGGGATGCCGCAGGAGGGGCAGAGTTGCAGGAGGGGCAGAGGGCACTATCTAGATGGGATGCCGCAGGAGGGGCAGAGTTGCAGGAGGGGCAGAGGTTCGTTGGGCTGTAATTAGTAAAGAATGTCTGCTTGAGCCTGGTGCTTTGCTAACGCACTATCTAGATGGGATGCTGCAGGAGGGGCAGTGAGTTTATGTTCATGAGGGAGAAACAATTCGGGAAAGAGGATGTATACGCTGAATTTAAGATGTGTGGATTCCACAAACCTCAGTAGATGCATTTTACAACTCAACTTTCACAAAATGAATAGGAGAGGAGAAAACGAGAGAGAGAGAGAGAGAGAGAGAGAGAGAGAGAGAGAGAGAGAGAGCGAGCGCGCGCAGAGGAGACAGCCATTTCCAGGACACCTAACTCCAATGACGGGAAGAAGGGGTGTGTTTGTCTGCCAGTCCACAATCACGATTCTCAACGTGCAGACCGTAGTGCAGCGGTGGTCTTCCTCACCTAGGAGCAGCTCTGGGTTCCTCAGCAAGGCAAGGCCAGCAATCATGGCTTTGTGGTGCTCGCAGCACAGGTAATCCCGGTCAATGGACTTCCCCGGGGCTGCAGAGACAGCATCTGGAGTGTCAGCTGGCCGCTGCTTCTTCCGATCCTTCTTGCGTTTCTTCTGGGCTAAGTGGGAGAGACAGACAAACAAAGACCTGTGCTCAGCCCATGAATCCCCAGAAAGCAAAGGATGCCAGTAGCAGGCTTCTAGAGCTGGCTTGAACAGATGCGAGAGAGCCAATTGTTAAACACGCAGGAGTTTGCAAGCTGGCTGACTGATGGCTGGTCCCTTGAACTCAGCTCTGTGGTGGGGGCACACAGACCACAGAAATCAGCAAGCACCACAATCCAGGCTCCCTGCCACTTCCCCTAAAGACACTGTAGTTCAACACTTCACAGCGCAGCACTGGATAATGGAGCATCAAAAAGACACAAGCCTGGGAAAGTATGCTCAAAATTCCTTTCAGAAGCTACTGATTACCCGCTCTGTGATCTAGGACTTTTGTTCTTCTACCTCTTAAGACTTCCCTATAACAATCCTATTACTCAAATTCTGACAGATGGAAACGCTGAGCCCAGAATCAGTAGGTAGTGTAGCCAGGCTTAGAACCCAGGGCTGCCTGCCTCCATTTTACCTACTGCCTTCTTCCTACTGAACCACAAAGACAGTAACACACTCCTCCCTGCTTAGCAAGGACATCCCAATGCTCACAGGAAGGGAGGACTTCTCCTTAAGAGGCCCCCTCCCTCCACTTGCCCTCAGTTTAAGGATCTTGACAGGTGGTTGTGTTTGTAAAGTCCCCTGCACTGCACAGCAGCATCTTGATGGAGGTGTGCAATGGGGCACTTCCTGGATAAGCTAAGTCACTTGCAATGCACGCATATTCACACACATTCCGGAGGAACAAGTAACACTACGAAAGTGAGAAACCTGGCAACAGTGGAAAACCCGGACACCCAAACTGGAGGGGGAATGTGCATTTGAAGCATTTTCCCCGAGGTCCAAGTCAGGATGAAATGGGAACTGGCCCACAGTCAGAGTGGCCCAATAAACAGGCTGCTGAAGGACAAAGCATCCTGCTGAGAGGTACTGGGTCGAGCGAGGGCTCAGGTTTTCTCCAGCCCCTCCTAGACTGGACCACCTGTGCAGACGGCCTAGAAGAAGGGGTGATGAGGAATCCAAGACCCACCCCGTTTCAGATTCCACCCTGCACCCCTGGACCTCAAAAGGGAATCGGAGAAAGGGAGAAGGACTCACATTTTTTACTTCAAGAACCGATTGCAAGGATCTACATATAACCCTTTCCCTGGGGGACGGACAACAGAAAAGTGGGTGGCGGGAGACCTTGGACAGTGTAAGACATGACAAAATAATAATAATTTATGTATTATCAAGGGTTCGTGAGGGAGGAGTGGTTGGGAGGGAGGGAGGGGGGGAAATGAGGAGCTGATACCAAGGGCTCAAGTAGAAAGAAAATGTTTTGAGAATGATGATGATGGCAACAAACGTACAAATGTCCTTGACACAATGGATGGAGGTATGGATTGTGATAAGAGTTGTACGAGCCACCAATAAAATGATTTTAAAAAGAAAAAAACTGGATGGACGAGTGTTGGTTTTGTAAAACAAACACACAACCAGAGAAAAGTCAAATAAACTGCCATCAGGGCGTTCCTGAGCACATGCAGATCACTCTCAAGGGAGTCTGTGCATGGCGGCAGCCACTAGCCACCAGAGGCCACTCAAATCCATTACACTGAAATGAAACGTACAGCTCCGTTCTCAGTCCCACCAGCCACGCTTCAAGTGCTCAGTAGCTACACGTGGCCAGTGGTCACCATATTGGGCAGTGCAGGCACTGAACAGAAAGAAATAATCTCTGGAGTGGCCAGGCACGGCAAACAGCTAACAAGGTCAGCTGCCAACCGAAAGGTTGCCGTCTACCCCGAAGTCCCTTGGAAGAAAGGTCTGGCGATCTACTGAAAGATCAGCCACAGAAGAAAATCCGAAGGAGTGGTTCTACTCTGACACACCTGGTGCCCCAATCAACTTGACAAGTGGTCTTCCTAGACCTCTGAGGTGCCCGCGAACGCTAAAGCCCTGGGAACTGGATGACAGACAGTGAGCTGCACTGTGGAGCACAGCTCGCCTGCGTACTCTCCGTTTTCTGGCGCCCATCACAAGGGTCCACTGAAACGATCCACAGGAGGGTTTGGAGCAACCTGAGCACTAGACCCTGAAGACACCAAAGGGATTACAATGCTGTGCGAAGCCTGCACCCTGCTCATCGCTTCAGAGCCGCATGCTGCTCAGAAACAGAACCTGGGCCTCTTCTCTGCTGACCTCGCATGCCCGACAAGCCCAGCTGCGATGACAGGGCAACCCCGAGTCACGTGTCATGCCTCGGGTACCCAGCCTGTCTGCACCTCGGCCAAGCTCACACTCCAAATTGCGTGCCCACACCACACCCACTGTGCGCCACCATCTCACTCACCTCTGTGAGACATGTCCCTCAGGAGCCTGGCCTCTGACTGCACCACGTTCCTGTTGTTGAGGAAGATCAGCCGCCGAAAGAAGTGCCTGTCATCGCCCTGCACGTCCTCGATGACGTAGTCACCACTCAAGGGGCTGCAGTCTCGGTGCTGAACGGTCCGGATGCCAATGTCCCCACCCACAGACAGAAAAGGCACCTGAAGGTAGGTACAGAGACGGGTGGGAGTCAAACACCAGCTTAATCAAGAAAGCAACTGCAGGGCCTTCCATCTGTTTGTATGTGAGGATCCCTGTTAGGTGCCATGGTGGAGATTCCGACTCAAGACGACCCACTGACAGTGCAGAACAGCCCAGGAGGTTTGTCTAGGCTGTTATCTTTATGGGCGCATCCTGGTTGCATTTGCTAGCCTACGTTAGTGGTTCAATCCCACCAGCTGCTCCACAGGAGAAAGATCAGGCTGTCTGCTCCCTTAAAGACCTACAGCCTCCAGAAACCCTATCAAGAGTTGTGCTGAGTTGGAATCAACTCGATGGCAATAGAGCCTTCATGGAAAGATCACCTGGTCTTTCTCCCAGGGAACCACTGGAGGGGTTTGAAATGCCAACCTCTGGATTATCAGCAGAGCACTGTTTTCACCACTGGGCTCCCTGTGTGTTAGGGTACAAAACCTCATCTCAAGACCCTGGGCAGCAACAACTCCAGCTATTTCCAATTCTAGCGGATCACTCTTCTGGGGAGCTGGAATAGACCTTAAATGGTTTAATTAACCTTTTGAAAATCAACTAAACTCATAACCATTAGTGAAACGCAGCTGGTTCTCCCAGAGAAAACTGAAGTGTCTCAGCAGTGAAGCCAGAGAAATGAGAGCCAGAGGAAACCCGGGAAGGGACTGTAATTACTAGGGGAAGAATCTGAGCAAAGACAAGAATGATGAGAATCCAAATATTTCTCTCCCTCAGTTAAGTCTCCCGGCCCCCCTCCACGTCCATGTTAGGAGTCAAGTAAAAGACACACTTTGCCCCTAAATTTATTCACTCCCCACCGAGTCTTTACATCTTTTTTTTAAAAGGTATTTCATCTGCCCCAGTGCTGCCAAATTTTCCAGGGGCGAGGGGCCCTTGAATCCCAAATGAACCAACCCAGGAGAGGGCCTCCCTGAAATACATCCCCCAGGAAGAATCAAGAACACATTCTCCTGTACACCCTCCACCGGACTCAGGCCGACCCTGGAGCGGGGCTGGGTCCTTTGTTCAGACGTTACAACAGCGCCAAGGCTCCAGGTACCTCAGATTCCCAGCTCAGGAAGGGTAACCTCCTCACCATAAAGGTCAGTCCTGACTGAGATGGCACAACACAGACAGGCGGCTCCTGACAACAGCTATCCTCACCTGGGCAAAAGCCAGGTTTCTTCCCAGACCAGCCAGGCTAATCACCTGAAAACTGCGCTGGGCTGTCGGGGCAAGCCCTTCCCTTTCTACCCAGAAAACGATGGTTCCATGAAACAAAACGGCCAAGGAAGTACTGCTGTTAAGTGAGAGAGCAGAAATGTGGGCTCTGAGAAAAAGAAGAATTGTGACCAGATGGGGCCTGCGCCATCGCACCACACATTTTCTTCAGTCTCTGCTGAGACCAGGAGGCATCACAGTGAGTCACAGCCACGGCCGCAGACCAAGCACTCACCTCCCTCTAACTGCCTGCAACCAGGGAACAGGGTTCTGCCCACCAAGTCCTGGTGGCGTCGGGGTTACTTGCTGGGCTGCTAACTGCAAGGATAGCAGTTTGCAACCACCAGCCACTCCTCGGGAGAAAGACGGGGCTTTTAACTCCAGTCGGGAGTCACAGCCTCCGACACTCTCAAGGGCAGTGCTCCCCAGTCCTATCGGGTTGCTATGGACTCAATGGCACTGAGTCTGACTGGTTTTGTTTTTTTTAATTTAGCCCTGAGCTGCTTACACACCCTCCCACACAGACATTGCTTCTACCAAGGTCCCCTCTGACCTCCTAGCTGGAAATATGACTTCTCCGGGAATGCGAGAAAGCCGTTGCTCGGGCTTTGTTACCTGCTGCTGGGCAGTCAGCCCCAGCGGGGCCAGCTCCATGACTCTGGCCGACAGCTCGGCCTGGATGCTGTCCATGCCGGCGTACTGCTGCCCTCGGTGCAGGGCCACGGTGATCAGCCTCCTGAAGCCTGCGCTGGCCGCCAGCTGCTTCCGGCCCTCCTCCATGCCGAAGAGCCACTCGGTCTCCCTGCCCTGGGGAACTGGGAAAAGGGATCTGGTGACAGGGAGTCCTGGGAAGAGGCCTCAAACCCACAACCATGACAGGCAGCCATCCCGTCCTGGACCAACGCCTGGTCCAACTGCAACCCATTGAGGCTGTCGGTTCCCTAGTGCAGAGCACCCAGAGCAAGATGGCCTATTGGACACTAGGGGGACCACAGACTGGATCAGAAATGTGAGCATGCATCCTTTAATTCTGTTTCTCCATCAACTCTTTGATGTCCCCTTGTATATAAGGGGAAGGGTAGACAAACAGCACCAGGAAAATAGTACGAATATCAGCAGTTATTGTAAGCCAGGCACTACTGCAAGTAGTTCACAAACACGATGAGCAAATCCTCACAGCAGCCCAATAGCAGGCGTTACTATTACTCCCATTTGGCCAATGAAGAAATACCCCGAAGTTACAGGACTTGCCCAAGTTCACCATGCTGGCAAAAGGGCGAAGCTGACTTGAATACAGTCCAGGCTCACGTCCACCGCACAGTTCCCACAGATGAGCTGTGACTGGATGCATGCTCTCTCTCTCTCTCTCTTACACACACACACACACACACACACACACACACATCCTGCTTGGCTAACAGCAAACACATGACCAGTACAACCGCGTTAGCACTTTGATTTTGTCTAAAGCTTTCTACTTTTGAGAGCATTTCCTTGTACTGGCTCTTTACAACCTTCAGGTAAATCTGGTCTCACTTATCCCTTTTGATAAGGGCTAACACTTACAAAGCACACATCATGTGCCAGATGCTGTTCTAAGTGTTCTTCCATTTCTCACAACTACACAGGACAGTGACTCTCATTATTCCTATTTTATTGACAAGGAGGTAGAGGCACCAAAAAATGCTACTTGTCCAATGTCACATCGCCAGGAAGTGACTGTACCAGGTCTTGAACCCAGAGTCTGCTTCCAGAGCTCGCTTTATCAGCTGCTACTCTTTTAATTTCAGGAGAGAAGCACAGCAACGACTCCAGTTACTGTCACTCATAGGCTGCAGAGTTAGGATTAGAACCCAGGCCTTAAGCCATCGACTCCAGTGTTGTTTCCAATACCCTATGCTGCAAAGCAGTATCTCGTTGCAGGGTATGATGTGCCTAAATTCCCACCATTTCTATCTCCTTCCTACTAGTGCCATTCTCACACTTCCTCCAGCCTTTGAATGGAAGATGGGGGGACTCACTCTCAGTCTAAGCTGTAGCTGTAACGCTACTTCCTTTGCAGATGGCTTGGCCCTGCCAGGCACCAACACTAAGACCTAGCCCTTCACCAGAGCCCGTGCCCAGTTCCCAGCCCCTCCCAGAAGAGGGAACAATCCCAACTCACTGATGAAAATGGCAAAATGATTGTCCCTCGATGGTTTCACAGTGGGGCTGTCCACCACGTGGAGGGTGTAGCGGGGCTCCCCAGTGTCCCCATCGCACAAGTCCAGGGACACACTGCCCAGCCCAGCCTTGCGGCGGAGCTGGCTGCACAGCCAGGCGTACTGCTGCCGTTCCAGCACCGCCTCAGCCAGCCGCTCGGCACTGTCCAGCCGCACGGGCTTGCCCTGCTCCTGAGCACACAGCTCAAAGATCTGCAGGGCAGAGCCAGCAACCGGTCTGACCTTGGTCATGATGAAGGCAAAGACAGGAAGGGAGAACCGATGTTCTGCTTCCATCACCTGGTCCTGGCAGCTGGCCACCTGGTGCACCCTCACCATCCACCCCGCCCGGGAGAAGTGACCCACTGCTTTCTTCAGGACGTGAGCCTGGGCCAGGGAGATGCAGAGGTAGCGACCGCCCACCTGCAGGACACGGCCAACCTCGGCCAGCATCCTGTCCACCTGCTGCAGGGTCCTTTCCTCCTCGTCTGTCAGGACAGCGTCCAGGGTGCCCTTGTCCAGCACCACCTGGAAGGAGGCATCAGGAAATTCCATCTGCATCATGTCCATCTTGAGGAAGCGCATCTGGGACCGGCGGCTGGCATTGTGCTCCTTCATTTGTTTGATGACGACCTCACTGATGTCGATGTTCACTATATCCTGATAGCCCACATCATACAGCTGCTCACTCAGTTCTGAGTTGCCGCACCCAATCACTAGCACCTGTGGGGGGTCACAGACGAGAAGGTGAGCAGGAACAATGGCAGGTGCAGCAGACCCTTTAGGGAATCAAGTCTTGCCTTGGATGCTAAGTGTTTTCAAGAGCTGAGAATGCTGTTGTCGGGAGAGAACACTTCAGAGTTGATTCTAGGCTCCAGCCTGAAACAACACTGGTTAGAGCAGCAGTTCTCAACCTGTGGGTCATGACCCCTTGAGGGTCGAATGACCCTTTCACAGGGGTCGCCTGATTCATAACAGTTGCAAAATTACAGTTATGAAGTAGCAATGACAATAATTTATGGTTGGGGGGTCACCACAACATGAGGAACTGTACTAAAGGGTTGCAGCGTTAGGAAGGTTGAGAACCACTGGTTAGAGGAAAGCAATCGTGAGAGCCTTATTCAGCTACAATACAGAGTGTGTGAGAAGGGCCTTTCTGTGTTCCAAACTGGTTGGTTTTTTCCCTCTGAAACAAGCATTCGTTATTCAAGAAGTGATAGGAAATCATGGGCACCAAATACAGTAGTTACAAATGGAAATATCCTCTGCTATATATTTTGAAAGTCTAGACTTGGGATAATAATCCTATTTCCTCAATTCACAGTCATGCCTTCAGCGCCACCAGACAAGACATGTTCTGTGATGATGTGATTCTTATTCCCTTCTCAGGTCCCACTTCAGGACATCCGGCTATTTTCTGAAGCCAGACTAAAAACACACATGGTCATGCCTCTCACTGTGGGGCAATCGCCCATTCACTCTTCAAAATGCCCTCTAATGCCATGGTCTCTGGAAAAGCAAATGCATTTTGGTGCCAAAGCAGCCTGAGTTCAAACCCTCAAGTGATCACTTTTTCTCTGGCTCTCAGTCCTCAGTTCCTCACTTGTAAAATGCTGGTACCACCACTCATCATATGGTTATTATGAAAACCAGTGTCCCCACACACAGCACCCTGTATTAGGCTTGGCACATCATGCTGAGTTTACAAACTTGGCTTTCCTATTCTTCCTCTTACCCGGCCTTCAGTATAATCTCATCGCCCAGAGCTACCAAACCTATTATGGTACTTACTGTTTTTAAAATTAGTAACTGTCCCTAGGCCTGGCATATGCTTGGGGCTTGTGTTAACCTTCTCACTGCCTAAAGAGCATGTACAGTTCTGAGCTGGAAAGCACTGTTTGATAAACAGATCCAGAGAAACCAGGTGCTACCTAGACCCCGGGGATGCAGTGACAGAAGAGTCCATAGTCTGATTGGGAAGAAGCTACACTTTCTGCTGGTGTGATCCAGGTTGGAGAACCTAGGAAGCCATTCCTCCAGTCAGATCATTAACTCAATGATGAGCTCTAGGGGAACAGGGTTCTTCCATTATGTGAACACATGAATCGCCTCTAAGTGGTGTTTAAATTGCCTTTGTGACAGAACTGTGCATTGAAATCGTGAAAATATAAGCATATATATGCATAACTATATATAAGCTTTAAGATATAAATAGATACGCACACATACATAAAACCTTCCTCTCTACCAAAAGAAAGGATCTCTTCATTGCCACCTAGGAGCCCTGGTAATGGAGTCCTAGCTAAAACGCTTGGTACTACCCTACAGATCGGAGGTTCTAACCGAGCGGCCCCGGCCCCATGGAAGAATGATGTGGCAGTTTGCATCCATAACGATGTGTGTGGTCTCAGAAATCCTGCAGGGCAGTTCTGCTCCTTCCTGTGGGTCACGGTGGCTGGAAATCAACCCGAGGGCAACGGGTTTGGTTTTACAATTCAATCCCCTTTTCCCGGCCGCGCTGCTTACCTTCTCCCTAGGCTTGATATATTTGTGCAGCAGCCCGCACAGTTCCAGGTAGGTCCCATACCACTCGAAAGCTTTTTTCCCTCGCACCTGGAAGAATTTCTCCCAATAGTCCACGGAGCCAAACTCCTTGGAGCTTTTAGGTAAGAGATTCATGTTCCCAAAGGCGGAGCTGCGTCAACTCCAGCTCGCTCCAAGCGTGAGAGGCTCATCCACACGCAGGTTCCGGGACACTGCAGGGGCCACAACCACACCGACTGTGCGCTACTCAAGCCTCCAAGGATTACACCCTTCCCGGCCAAGCGCCCGCGCCCTCAACACCGAACCCCAACACACGCTCCCCGCCGCCCCGCGGACACCCGCCCCCGGCCCTCGTGGAGAACACCCCCGGCACGCTCCCCCCGAGCTGGAGTTCAGACCCGGCAACCACTTCCGGCCAGAGGACTCCCGATTGGTCGGCCGCCCCGAGTATTCCAGCGACTCACGGCTCACGGTTTGTCGTTCCTGGTGTCTCATTGGTTAAAACTCGCTCGGCTCCCGCCCTCGCTGGCCAGGGCTCGGAGCTTTTCATTGGCGGAGAGCGAGCGGGTGCAGTCCCCCGAGGGCCGGAAGTGGTCCGCAATCGGGCCCTAAGGTTTGGGAGCCTCGGCTGTTCTGACAGTCTTCCCGGGTCTGGGGCCGCCAGCTGCTGTGGAGAACACGCGAGCCTCTCGGCTCTGATTCATTTTTGTCCAGGGCCAGCCTTGTCCCCGGTTCTGGCATCCTGATTTGGGCCGGAGGCGGCCTGCGGGAAACGTAATGGAGGTGGGACCGAAAAGATAAATTCACAGATGAGAAGGAAGTGGTGCAGGGAATGAGCAGCCAGCCCTCAGTCTCCGCCGCACCATCTTCTCCAGCTCTTTTCACGTTAGCCCTGTGCTTGTGGAATTCAGGTTTCATTTGGAGGGAAATGGCACTTGGCTGTACATGTTCTGAACCAAAATACAGGGTTCTCCATCAACAGTGTGAGAAAGTGGAAAGCCTGGTTGTTTGGGCCGGGGCCGGACTAGGGAGCCCCCATCTCCTCTCCGGCTCCTCAGGAAGATAGAACGTCAGGCCCCCATTTCCAGCCTCTCGGGAAGATAAATGATATTCTGAAGTCTGCATCTTCTGCCCCAACCTTCCAAGGAGCTGATCTCTCCAGACCAGGGCTGTGCAGCCCCTGTGCCAGCGCTCCAGGGAGTAGGTTGGCAAACAACAAAGGCACTTCCCACGGATCCATCCTGACTCAAGGTCCTGCAGCTACAAGCAAAAAATCTCCCTTCTTGTTGTCAACGTATATCTCCTTAGCTGGAGCCCACCGCCTCACCGACATGCTGCGATTTCCCTGACCCAACTCCTTGAGTCTCAGAACTTCCCAGGAGCTTAAGATGCCCCTGCCCCTTTCTCTGCTCTCCCTTCCCTCCTGGGAGCTCTTTCCCCACCCTAATGAAGCTGCTCTTAACCTCACGTTTTGTCTCAATCCCATCTCCATTCAGTGTCGACCTCTGGTAATAAGGTCACAAAAGGTATTCCGATGGTTTCCTCTACCTTTCTTTTCCCTTCTTCCCTCAAAGCATAGTGTGCAAAAATCCAGCATGTACCTTTTGGTACCAAATGTACCAGCTTACACTGTCAGTCTGATGTTATCTATAAGTAATTGCAATGTTTGTGTTTAATGTACTATCTTCCCAGTGCTAATCCTCCCCTCCCCCACCCCCAGGGAGGTTTCTGTTAGGACACTCTTTTTTAAATATGTGCACTGGTTAAAACGAAATACAATTTAATATGTAGTTTCTCCGTTTCATTAGCCATATTAGTCAGTAGCCATGTGTGGCAAGTGGCTATCAGAGTGGACAGGGAAGACACAGATTTCCATGATCTCAGAAAGTCACATCAGTGGTTGCGCCAACAAAACAGAAATCACTTATTAGTCATTGCAGGAAATTTTGCGCAGCAAAGTGATTCTAGAAGATCTAAGAAACCAAACAGGGACCAAGGAGGCACCCAGGTATTGGAAACATGAAGCAGTGGCTTCTACTGACACAGGGACACAGGGAGGAAGTAGTATTTACAATTCCCAGGGGCCAGAGCATTCAGGCACCACCACCACAGGAAATTCCTTTACCCCAAGAAGAGCATAGTTCTACTCTGACACATAAGGGGTCACCTTGAGTCGGAGTTTACTCAATAGCAACAGCTAATTGCTCTTTTGGGCTGTCCTATGGATGCTTTTCCATGAAGCAAGCAGATGTGTTCATGATAATATATATATACGTACATTGGCCCTTTCTGAACATAATAGCGACCCTATAAAATAGAGTAGAACTGTGGGTTTCCAAGACTGTAAATCTATATGGGAGTAGAAAGCCTCATCTGTCTACCGAGGAGCACGTGATGGTTTTGAATGTCTGACCTTAGTGGTTAGCAGCCTAATTCGTAAGGCCTTATGCCACCAGGCTCCAGGGAGCATGATAAATACCAGTAGGAATACACAGATTGAGGAGGGCAGAGAAGTGGAATTGAACAACTTCAGTCTAGGCTATTCTAGACCTCACTAGCTTATAAATTAGATCAATCACTATGTAGGTTGCCAGATAGACTTACTAAAATAGGTTAAAGTATACTTACACAGTCTGCTAAACTGAGGAACTGGATGAAAATGTAATGCCGGTAAATCCTCTATGCTCATAATTACAGGTCTGGAAAGCTGGCTCTGGAGGGGGAAGACCCTCACAGTTATGAGATATAAATAAATCTTAATGCACATTTTCCTGAACACAGTCCCTCCAATAACCCCCCATAAAGGAACTGTCCTAAAGGAGCTACCATATAAGATGAATCATGCTATTCCCTGTGTCTGGAGGTTGTCGGTAGATTAGTGCAATCAGGTTCTAGAGCCAAGCCACCATAAAATGCAGCAAACCCTGAGGAGGGCCTAGCGGGGTTCAAGGTCAACTAGCACTAGGTTAAGACACTGGCTCACCTCATTGTTTATTATCTTACCCGTTCATGATATTACCTATTAACTATGTTAACTCTATTCCGTGCATGCCTTATGAAAGATCTGTAAGTCCCATTACACATAGTCATTGGAAAATACATCCTCTCAACCTGACTTGGGACGAGGAGCTCGTGTGCCCCACTGTCTGTTTGCCTGTAATAAGTCGCTCCGGAGGACCCCTTCAAGTGTAGGAGCCCCGTCACCCCAATGAAGCATTGATTCTAAAAAGTAGTTCTCACACTTTTGAATGTTTCAAAATTGCCTATAAAAACAAACAAGCCAAACTCACTGCCTTCTAATTGATTCCAACTGATATCCTATAGAAAAGGGTAGAACTGCCCTGGTTTCCCAAACTATAACTCTTAACTTTATGGTAGTAAAACATCTTGTCTCTCCCATAGCGACTGGTAGTTTTGAACTGCTGACTTTTAGGTTAGCAGCCCGACCATAACCAGGATCCCATAACATTGCCTGTAGGACTTACTAAATTAAAACTTTGCTCCCCACCCCAGAATTTCTGATCAGCAGGCCTCAGGTGGTGCATGGCTGACAAGTTCCCAGATAATGGTGATGCTGTTAGTTGAGTGATCCCTTTGAAAAACCACTACTTTAAAATATAATGCAGGGGTAAGCTAACCTATGGTCTTGACTCCATAATTTTGAAAGATGAATCCAAGAGTTCTCCACAAGTAAGTTTACAAAATAATAAACTACCTTCATGTATCTCTTTCTAAATTCATATTGTTTCTTCTTAACCCAAAACTAAACAGAGCTAGAAGGAGCCTCTGAGATGGCTTACAAGTCATGCCGGGGGTCCCCGATGGGTGAGATGTGGGGACTTTCGCTTCAAGCGCTACACAATATGAAAGACACCGAAAAACAGCTTTATCCAATGCAAGCCATAGGAGCCGATCTCTGTGCTAGTAGCTCAGGGTACCCTGGTAAAGAAGGCAAACCCAAAGGAGCCACATATTAAGCACTTAAGAAAAATAATTTTGCAGTGTGAGTTGTGATGAGTGTGGTAATAAAGTTCAAGATAACATGATAGCAGATACTTAAGAGACAAATTCTGATGTGGAGGAGGCCGGAGACGGCTTCCCTGAGGAAAGATCCTTTCACAAAGATACTAGCATCTGAAACATCGGAACTTTGGCCTCCCTTCTCTCTCCATTGTACTCTATTAAGGGTGTGGTATTAGAAAAGGCAATAGAAGCACGTTCTATCACAGCCAGCTCCTTACTTGCTGCCCCACAAATACACTGTATTATATCTCAGACCAAGCAGGTAACTGATCTATCCCCAGGTGTGCCTCCCTCCCTTTCATCTGTGAGCCGAGGGAAAGACTAACAACCAGAGAGCACTTTGAGCTAAAACAAGCCAGAGGTTTTCTAAAATTCTAAGAAATAGTAAATCAGATATTTCAGATATATCCAAATATTAGAATTTGGCACTTGTCTTTAAAAAAATTTATATTTGTAATTTCTAAGTTTAACTGAAATATGGCAGTGTATATTAGCAGTAGTAAATTGAAGGGGATTGCGAAATGAAAGATTAAATGCATTGTTCTGTTAGACTCAGAATCGTGTAAAATTCAAACTGAGTTTAAATAAAACCATTCAATAATGTACAAGGGTTTTTTTCCTTGAAAATATAAATCCAGAATTCTGGATATAGAACTTGCAGGTACATTTTCTTAATTGAAAGATATCCCAGGAGCGTTCAGCAACAATATCCAATTACATGATTGTTGCTAAAAAATAGTTGCAAGGTATGGAATAGATCATTAAAAGTATTTCTGACAATTTGGGGCAAAGGATGGATGGGAGAGTGCACTGGAGAGCCAAAAGATAATTCCCCAAAGATGCCAGTGTACTGATGCCCTTCTCCTACTTATGCATTAGGTAACATGACTAAGAATTGAAGTTACACTTAGAATTAAGGTTACTATTTACCAAAAAAGAACAAACCCACTGCCATGGAATCATAGCAACTCTACATAGGGTTTCCGTGTGTGTGTGTGTGTGTGTGTGTGTGTGTGTGTGTGTGTGTGTGTGAGAGAGAGAGAGAGATCTTTGTGGGAGCTGACAGCCTCATCTTTCTCCAGAGGAACCCCTAGTGAGTTTGAAACACCAACCTTGGGAGAGCAGCCCCGTGCTTTCTGGCAGTGCGATGAAGGCTCCTTAGGTTTACCATTGAGCTGATCTTCGACGGGAGATTAGCCTGGATTATCTAGGTGGACCTAATGTAATCACCAGGGTCCTTAAAAATTGAGGTGGGGGAGCCAGAAAGA